TCTTTCATTATAACCCCCACACCAAACAAAAAAAGGGGACTGGCATTAAATAATTATTTCTCTAGTAGAATGACAAAAAATGTACGGTAATATAAACCAGAAATCAGGAAAAATTGAGAAAAAAGTAGAAAAACTTCAATTAGATAACAGTTTCTGAAAATGGAATATTTCAGTATTTGCATTCCCTCCAACTGATGTTGATATTCAAACCAAAGTTATCATGGATGGTGGAAAAATACTGGAGACAACGATAAGTTGGAAAGCTGAAGATAATGGTGAGTAGAGAAATTTCAAAAGATGCTGGATCTTTCAATCAAGAGTTACCTAGTTTCCTATATTTCAAATTTCCGAATTTTCAAACTCACAAACTTCTGAATTCCCAAGAATCTTACACTTTCTGACTATCCAAGTTCTGAATTTCAGGATTTCCGTATTTCTGAATTTCCCAACTTTATTTTGAAGATCCAGGAAATCGGAATCTCGGAAAATGTCGAAATTAAGAATGCAAGATAATCGGAGGTTTCAAAACTTGGGATTTTAGAAATTCTGAGACTGATAAATTTAGACATTCTCTGAAATTCGGAAATTCGAAGACTTTGGAACCCAGAAAATTGGAAACTCAGAAGTTCAAGTTTTCGAAAAGAACACAGTCTCGTCGAAAAGTTTCTGAAACTTCAGGAGTTTAGAAATTAGGAGATTCATAGTTTCAAGAATTTTGAAATTCAAACTTTCGGAAACCCGAAAAGATGGATATTCAGAACATCAAGTTGACGAGATTTGGAAATTTCGAGAAATCAAATATTAAGAAAATTGGTGAAGGTATAAACAAAAAACCATTTTTAGACCGCCGTCGGGAAGGCTTCTACATCCGATACACTGCAGTCAACTCATCGTGCCAAAAACATTTTCCCGGATATTTCACATCTTCAATCTTACCGGTAATCCCCACAACTTAATCGGTTTCCTTTTTTATTCAGCTGTTTTTTTCAGGATGAAAGATCTCTTACCATTCCAGCTGCATTCAATGGTCATGCTCTTGTCATCGATCATTCGTGCTCTTATAATCTTCAAATTCGAGCTAAACCGTATCCGCCGGGAGATGATAAATATATTATTGAGAAGAGGCATACTGTACCAGACTGTATTGATAAATTTTGTAGTTGTCGTCCTGGCGACGTTCCAGCGATTCGCGATGTTTCAGTGGATTCTGAATATCGTTTGAATTGGAAATTTGAAGACGTTTCGGAAAAGGATTATCAGTTTTATGTCGACATTTATGAGAAGTAAGACTATTTCGAAAAGTTGAAAATCGTTTGGGATTTCCAGAATTGCGATGCCGCTAATCAAAAAGAAAGGATCAGAAGCGGACGTTGAGGAGTACACATTCAGAATAGCTAACGCCGAATCTTATGAGATTTCTGCTAAATCATCAAAAGTGAGCTCCCACCAACAAATTATGCTTTCTTATCTGTCCCAATTTCCAGATCTTTCCAAATACCTATCAATATCAGCTTCCCTTTCAATTTGCTCCATTCCAACAATACAAACTTTCAATATTCGCAGTCGATGACAGTTTCTGTCATAATGAAGACGTCTTCCATATATTCAATTCCACCAACGTCACATCACCCTCCTCCACTTCATCTATTGAATTCAAGACATTGAGTGTTCCAGAACCTTCCGGATCAGCAATCACAAAAACAAATCAGATTATGGATTCCTCCGCTCTATTTATATTTCTAATCGTTTTGGCCTGTATGTCACCGATATGCTCTGTATTAGCATGGCTCGTGTTGAGAAGGTAAGTGAAGAATTTTTAGAAAATTTATAAAGATCTGAAAATTTTAGAAGAAGTAAAGAGAAGAAAAAACGAAACAATTTCCTACGTCGTCGTTCACTTTCCATGTCTCGACACAGTATTATTGAAACAAATATCCTGTATAGACCACCAAATGAAGTAATTGGAGCAGTATCTGAAGATTGGCTTATTCGGGGACAGGATATTGTGGTTGGAACTGTTATCGGTATCCACAGAAACTGGTTTTTCGGAATCTGAATTTCAACTTTTTTAGGAGAAGGAGCATTTGGACAAGTATTCAAAGGAATCCTCCGTGCTCCGAACGGTCAAGTGGTTCCTGTTGCCGTGAAACAATTGAAAGCGAATGCAATCGATGAAGAACGAGAAGAATTTATCAGAGAAATCCGGATGATGCAGACGGTAAGATTCTAAAAAACCGGTTGAAATATTTAGAATTTCTATTAGGTTGGACGTCACGAAAACATTGTGGCAATGTATGGATACTGTATGTGTAACGACATGCAATGCATGATAATGGAATATGTTCCGTATGGAGATTTGAAACATTATTTGCAAAATATGCGGAAAGATAGAGTAAGTTACAATGATCCATTATTCGCTAATTTAACTTTTTTCAGGAAACCGAAAATTCGATAGATAAAAAAGAGTTTCTGTCATTTGCTAGCCAAATAGCATGTGGAATGGCTCATTTGGAATCAGTAGGAACCATTCATAGAGATTTAGCTGCCAGAAATATTCTCGTTGGAACTGGAAAAGTTTTAAAAATCTCAGATTTCGGAATGTCTAGACCGGGAGTTTACATCAAAATGAGTAAAGGTATTTACTTAAGCAAACCATTCAGTTAAATAACAAATAAGCGCAACTTTCAGGAGTAATTCCACTTCGTTGGTTGTCTCCAGAAGCAATCAAAGATAGTACATATTCAAGTAAAAGTGATGTTTGGGTGAGTTTTAGTATTATACTGGTCCAGAAAAAGAATCGGAGCTGTGGGAGAGTATTCGGGGTAGAAGATCCCACAGCGACAACTAGAGTAATCTGAAAAGATTCTTACGTTCAGGATTTATTTTCTCGATTTTCGGCCGTTTTAAGTGAATTCTTTCACTGTCAAAAATTTTTTTGCGACTTTTCTGGGGGAAAATAACAGGAAAAACCGACAAAAATCAGATAAAATCGAGAAACTAAATCCTGAAAATAATAATATTTTTAGGTTACGGTATTTGCCGTTGTGAGACCTTCTTCTACGGTCACCGGCTTTTCTCTTACACAGCTCTTTTGTATCAGTATATTATCCGGAAATCATTTTTCAATTCAATTATTACAGGCGTTCGGAGTGCTACTTTGGGAGATTGCTACTCTCGGAGGATTCCCATATAACAATATAGCTGACAAGGATCTACTTGTTCAGTTAACAGATGGAATGCGCTTAGAGCAGCCTTCTAAATGTTCGGAAGAAATGTAATTTCTTAAAAATCATCATTTGTATAAAAAATGATAATTTAGGTATGTTATGATGAAGTCATGCTGGAATCTAAAACCAGAAGAACGCCCTTCATTCCTCTCAATTCATGAAAAACTGGAACGAATCGCGGCAGCAGAATCCGATCCTCCACCGTCGGATCCAGCTACAACAAACAACTGCAACCAATTTTGACACCTTGTGTTGTATATTCTGAAACGGGTTCACTTCTTTCATTGCTTTCTGTACAAACTTTGAGATCGATTCGATTATTTATTTGGTTTTTTTTTTTGAAACTTTGAAAAATAAAAATTTTGAAAGCAAACTGGTGGAATAACAACAACAGAGGTGAGATGAGAAGATGAACGAATGAGTTTAGTTCAGTGGAATCCAAATCCAGTTCCACGACCCATGTGTGTTGTTTCTCTGGCAACGGCATACTGTTTCTCCAAATCATTGAGCATTTTGTTTTGACGATTTTTCTCTTCCGAAAGATTTGAGACGTCTTCCTGAAAGATGAAGGAGAGAATTTATTTAGGTTACAATAGAGAAAAATTAGAAACATACCGCAGGTTTTGGAGCATTTTTGACACCCATTAGTCTCATGAACTTGTTGGCCTGCGACGACCCTACACCAGTAGCTGCGATTGCAGATGACCAAAGCTTCTCGTTCTTTCCGCCAGGAACAGATTCGGATGAAGTCGACGCGGATTCTGTTGTCTGGAAAGTTTTGATGAGAATGTGAACGTTTATTTCCAATATTACCGAAGATGACTGTGCAGCAGCAGGTTTCTTGTTCCCCCAAAGTGCTTTACGTTGAGCGGCGATCTCCTCGGCAGAAAGACGATTTCTGAAATGTATATGATCATTTCAACTACGATTGATTTCGCTTACTTGTCTTCTCTTTTCTGGAAGTCACTTCTCCTGTCGTTGCGATCATTTCTGTCTCTCTTCCAGTTGTTCCGATCATCTCTTCTGTCATCTCTCCTGTCTTCTCTTCTGTCTTCCCTTCTATCGTCGCGTCTATCGTCTCTCCGATCATCCCTCCCATAGTCACGTCTTCTTCCGTGATCGTTATCCTCCCGACGGCGCGTGTCACTCTGAAAATGGACTCATGGGCATGAAAAGCCTAACAATGACTGTAAAACTAGTGTAATGCTCCTAGAAGTTTACATGGAAAAAACCTGAAAATTTTTTTGTTTTGTTGAGAAATCTGACTATTTTCTCACCTCTCTTTATCCCGATGTGGGCGACAATGAATTCTCAGACTCCAGCCCAAATCGGCAAACAAAACTAAATTTGTAAAACCATTAGTTTCAGTTTGCATTTTTTTTATTTCAGGTTAACTGTGTTATTTAACACTAAAAATTACAGGTTTAGATGTATACCTTTTCTCCGTGTCGATCTTTTTTCGGAGACTTGTCTCTTTTCTCATGTGGCGAACGACTTCTGTCTGCCTTCTCCTTTTTCGCAGCCTTTTTCTCTTTCTTGCGGCTCTTTCGATCACTGAAAGCAATGTCGTTAAAAATAAATAAATTAGAGAAAACTCACACTTCCTCACTGCCACTATCACTGTCGTCGAATGTTGTATGCTTTCCCATTCTGAAATAGTAATATTATTGAGCTACTTTTGACAGGTTTAGAATCCGATGAAGCGAGCTTTTCTTTATTCCGAAGATTTTTCTTTTGTCGTAAGCTTGTGCGCAAAGTACGCTTTTTGTCAAAGTGTGTTTGCACCTATCGCTCACCGTAACTTGCAAAATATTCGTCACATTTTTCCGATTTTCATCAAAGATTTGTGAAGAACTGATTGATTAAATTAACTTAAGACCATTTTAATCATATGTTCTTAAGATGCTCCGTCTCTACGCAAGTAATTGTGCCAGCAAAATCAAAGTCGCTGTCGAGTCAGCGGCACGCTTGCAATCGACTGCTGCCGGATCCACAGGACACAAATTTCAAAGTAAGATAGTTTCAGGACGCTTCAGGTTAAAAATTATCAATTTTTACAGCAAAAGAACAGAAAAAAGACGGCACAACATATGTTTCTATGGAGAGGGTTTCCGACTCGCGCGGAGCACGAAAAGACGATGAATTGTGTTCGCTGTGCACGTGCAATGTACCTGTGAAGCTCAGTTATAAGTAAGATTTGTATGAACATACCAACATGCTTCCATCTTTCTTTTACAGGGACGTTCTTATTCTGGAGCAGTTCATGCGAGATGATGGAACAGTTTTACCGCGGCAATTAACGGGTCTGTGCAAAAAACAACAGTTGAGACTGGAAAGGTAATATCAAGGTTTTTTCATTAAAATTATTTAAATGAAACTGGCAGGTGTGTCATGCAAGCGTTCTGGTCGGGACTTTTCGGTGACAAGTATGGAAATGAAGCTGACCGAGCTGGCTACAAACGATTCAACAGGTACTGGAAAGATGATATGTCGATGTATCAATTGGAAACGAAAGAAAGGCACGGAACATGGTTTTATATTAAAAGGTAAATGATTTCTTCAGGATAAAATAGTAATTGGAGTTTTTCAGATACCAAACGAAAAACCAGCCACTTTTCAAGAATCCTCTAAATTAGCCGTTTTTCCTTTTTGTTAGCTCGTACTTTAGATATATTGTTGTGTTTATCCGAACGTTTTTAAATAAGAAAAAGTTTGTTTTCAATTTGTGTTACATTTCATATAAAAATGTTCCAGAACATTTTTAATACCTGAAAGCGTTGTCTCATTTTTTTCTTATCAAACGATTTCAGATTCCCAGATGTCTTGATACCAAAACAAGAATTATGCGAAAACTTTACTGTTTCGTATTAATTTTATTGCAAGCGCATGTAATATTATGCCAGAGGAACATCAGCGCATCGGCTTCTGGTTTGTTGAATCTTCAACTCGAAAAGTGTCCTCAAGTTCTCGGATGCCGTTGCGTTGGAGGTTCCAAAAGAGACATACAATGCTTCTCGATAGGTTGTTTTTTGACAACTCATCGTCTTATGCCACTTGTTTTTTTTCAGATGAAACCAAGCTATTAGAACTCGAAACAGTTTATGGTCCGGATATTCGTCGTCTTGAAATCCATTCATGGAAACAAGAGCAACTGAATTTCGACATCATCTCTTCATTTAAGGAACTTGAAGTCCTCATTTTGAAAAGTAGTTTTTTCGTTTCTTCTATATTTCATCGATATAATCGTTTCAGACGATGAACTGGAGTCACTCAATGGAACCCTTAAACATCCTTCTTTGAGGGTTCTGTCTCTTTCGAATTCGGAACTCTCATCTGATTCTGAAGTTTGTCACATAATCACCCTTTTTCCAAAGCTGGAAAACCTCTCACTTTCCAAAAATTATTTTGAGAAGTTTGAGTGTAGTGATGTGAGCACAAAACTAAGAGCCTTGGATTTGAGTCATAATGAGGTTGGCTATAGTTTTCAAAATGTCACTTTACTGTAATATTTTCCAGATAACACATTTGGGCATTCCTGATTCGGTCAAAGAATTGAACGTCTCCAACAACCAGCTGACTTCTTTCGATAACATTTCTCAAGAGCTGATCAGTTTGGACATTTCATTCAATTCGTTCACTTCTTGGCCTTCAGATGATGGATGGACTTTTCCAAATTTGAAAAGTTTATTTGCTGCGAAACTAAGCTTTGAAACTGGTTTCCAACTGGATGCTCCTCAATTGGAAACACTCAATATAGACGGCGCAACTCTCAAATACATCAATTTCCATCAAATCAAGACACCTAAATTGAAAAAGTAAGTATTTAGCTTCACTCCCAGAAAACTATCAGCGAGTGAATTAAGGCTTTCTGCTCGACATTTGCTGAGACTTCAAAACGTTGCCGGAAGCCTTCCACCTACTGTGAATTCGGTGGAAATTACGGACACAATGCTCCGAACTCTACCGGCGGACTTCATTTCAAGGTATTATTTTACTCCATTTGTAATTTCAATTCTCTATGTTTTTTTCAGTCCAACTTCTTCATCCAACAGCCGAGTGTCGTTTGAATTCACATCAAGTCGTCTACTTTGCCATAAATGTCTTTTAAAATGGTCTCTCCCAGTTTACGCACAGACCAACATCCGAAAGGAGTGTAATTTGACAAGGTACGATAAAGATTTTTTGAAAAAAGAAAAATGACATCATTATTTTGTATAGACAAGAAATCGCATCTGCTTCATGCAACCTTGGTGTCGTCGCCAACGACACTGGAATCCAATATGGAAAATATGAAAAACCAACAGCGATTTCATGTTATTCGTACGGAACTCCTTCTCCAAAAATCAGTTGGTGGAGATTTAGACCTGCAGAGAAACTTGGATCATACGATCCGAAAACGGACCAAATCAGCTATACAAATGTTTCGGATGTCATGAGAGAAAGGTATTAACCAGAAATTTGAAGAACGACATTTTAGGAGTTTATTCTTACAGTTACTCAATTCAAGCTGGTGGCTCTCTGCTCATTCACTCTCCTAATCGGTCTCATGTTGAACGATACGTCTGTGTAGTAGAGAACACAAATGGAACAGCGTATGGCATTTACCAGTTCAGGTAGAAAATTCTGCGGGAACATTAAAAAAAAATAATATTTCTTCAGGCTAGATTATCTCGATTGGTATGGTCTTGATGTCTTCCATTCGGTCTTCTGGGGTGGTTTGGCAACTTCACTTATCGTGTGTCTTATATCATTCTTGTTAAACATCACATGGATTCTAACAAGAAAAAGTGCACTTTGGTGGATTCAACGAGCCGAAAGACTATCAAGAGTTCGAAAAATGGTTGAAGCTATGGAGAAGTATCGTGTTCGACAAATGGAATCATTGCATGAGAAATACACAAAAAGAGTGCAAATTGTTCGGGATAACTATCACCAGCAAGTTGAAGCTCTTCGCGTTTCTTACGCAGCCCAACAGGAAAAGTTCCAAAACTACAAAGCCGCTCAAGTCGATGCAGTTCACTCGCATTTGGATGCTATGAGAGATGGATATAATAATCAATTGGGAAGAGTCAGAGAGTACGGATCGAAACGAGCTGAACAACTATGGGAAAGTTATGAGCGACAGGTATTTTAGATAAAATATAACAAGAAGTCACCAATCTTCATTTCAGGTCAACCGAATGCGAACATTTAGTTTGCAACATCGCTTGAAAATGATGAGACAGTACAAAGTGAAACAACGATATGTGAACAAACTTCTCGAATCGTTCCAAGCTTCGTCTCCAGAAGTTCAACTTGAAAATGTGAGTGTTTTCCAATCGCAATAAACGTGCTCAGTCTTATATACATTTCAGGAGGAAAAAGTTCGTGCCGCTTTGGAAATTCCGGATGATTTAGGAACTATCGATGGTTCAATAGACACTCCCTCAAGGCTCTCGAGAAGCTCTTCTTTCCATAGCCTTCCTGAATATGTTATTGACGAGCAAGGACATGTACGGCCAGGAATCATTCCAACTACGACAGCAAGCATTAGGTACATTTCAAGTAATATTTATTTTTCAAGAAAAGTTTTATAGGTTTTCAAAACCAACGACTTCATCCAATTCTAACGGTGCAGGTACCTCATCATCTCCGAGTTCTTCTGGACCGCACCGATCTCCAGATTCTCCACCCAAATAGTGATTCATTTTCTACATACTTGTAAAATTCCGGGCCGTGCCGGGCCGGGCCTGAGGAAATTTTCAAGGCCCGGGCCCGGCCCGGAAGGCCCGGTGTCAAAAATTCTGTATTTTTGAGCCAAATTTTGAGCTCTCAATATAATTTTTTCCATTTTTTTTCGTATTTCGGATTGTTTGTCTGTCTGATCAAAAAAGATCGAAAAACTCGAAAAAAATTTTTTGGTCGAAAAAGGTCACATAAGGGTCCCCCCTTATGTGTTTTTTGAAAATTTCGAAACTAGTGAAATGACGGGCCCGCCGGGCCGGGCCTCCGAAATTCCGGAAAAAGCCCGGCCCGGCCCGGCCCGGCCCGTTACAAGTATGATTTTCTAATCGTGTTATTTTTGTTGCAATCATTCCCTAATCGGTGCCATCAACATCCATTCTTCTATCATTTTCGTTCCGTTTGTTCTACATCTATACTTAATATAATCAGGAACTTCATTTACAATTAGAGCTTTGTGACCATGTGAATAGCTTTCTCTCTCCCACGCCAGCAAAAACCATTCAATTGAGTTCTTCTTTTTGTGCACAATTCATGTATAATATTTTTGACTTTCCCGCTGTTTCTTTGAATTTCGTTTATACCAATCACTTTTATGGCAATCACTTTTACCAAATTCAGACAGAAAGTAAAAATTTATTCGACGTTACAGAATTTTATACATTAGATTTCTGATTCTTTGACGATGTCTTTTCCATAAGGCAAACGCCATTGTGACATGAGTGGAAGTCCGGACAAGTTAGATCATTAATACACTTGAAGACGTACTCTCTTTGATGGAAGCAGTGCCGATTAACACATTTGTGATGCTGATCACAGTTTCGATCAGTAAGACATTGTCCTCTAGTGGAGGCTGCCAGAGATAATGGAATCAGAAGAAGCAACTGTTAAAATACGTTTTAAATGTTATAACACCTACTCAAAATAACTCACCAGTAAAACTGTTTTCAAAAGAGCATGAGTCATCTTTTTCAAAAAATACACTGAATCTGAAAGCAAGTAGATATCACCTGACTCTTATCAGTTATCTTCCACAATGTGGAAATGTGACTGACACACATTTATCAAAAGAAGCTGACATCCCCAAAACATTACAACAAGATAGAAGTGTTTCTTAGTCATGTAGTTTCAGAACAGAAATAAAAGAAGAGTGAACTTTTATTATATAAATAATCAATGTCATGAAAATATAAGGATTACCATCTAAACGGAATACACATTTTGAGAATACATCGATTACCAGAAGGACAGTCGAGACGGGATTGGCATCGTTGGAATAGATAAGGAAATAGCTGGAATCGACTAGCATTTAGACATTTTCCATCAAAGCAGGCGCTTTCAGATGAGCAATCTGCGTCGATAGAACATCGTTGGATAAGTGGAAGGTATGGAATATCAGGTCTCGTTGGGGCATCATCGAACTCTCTTGTCTTCTGAAGAATTACTTCGAGTGGAATCTCATCATCATCGTTTTCTGGCGAATTCGGAATATGAATTTCGTTATTGGGGTGCGTCAGATTTCCAGATTTCTCTGATGACGTTATGTTGATCTCTTTCTCCGCAAGTGATAATGATGAAGACGTTAGAAGTATAAATATCTGAAAAATGCTCTGATTAGGTCATTGAGTATCACTTTTAATGGCACACTATCACTTTTAAACTTTTAATGATGTTACGTTTGAGCTCAATTATCTCAATTCTAATGCAAGATATCAAAAATGTGTCGACTGACAAAACACTACTGATGTTATGATAAACAATTTATCAGTTGACATTTTTTATATCTTTGACAGGAACCAAGAAAAATTCACTCAAAGATAAGAGTTAAGGGAGAAATCGAAAAATACAGTACCCCAAAAAGTTCTGACTTACCAATATTTTTGCCATGGTTCTCGAATGTTGCCGAATTTTCGAAACTTTTTCAAAAAACATCGAAAAAACAGAAAAGAATTGGTGCGTGTCAGAGGGCGGGAGACGAGAATGAATGGGAGAAAAGGGGAAGAAGAACCGATAAATTTTGTTATCGCTTGGGGAATTTTCCTGACTAAACGCTCCCTCGTCACCTCTTGTTCGGTTTTTTAGAAATCTATTTTTTCTCTGGTGTGAGAAAGCAAAACATGTGAAAAAGCCAAGATGATTTAACATGAGAGTTTATTCAAGTATGAAAAGGTTGAGAGACAATTATCAGAACTATCAATCAAATGTGCATTGGTCCAGTGCCTTGCTTGACATCGGCTCTTTGAGCCTCCTCGACAACCAGAGTCTCCGCGTAGACCTTTTGTTTCTTCTCATCGAGTGCCTTGCGAACCGAGACTCTTTGAATTGTTACTGAAAAATATATTTTAAATTGTTGTGATTTCTTATTGATGGATTACTGAAGATCAACATGAAATTGTAGTAGTAGACGAACCAGATCATGCTGATGTCATTGTGCTTCTCCTTGAATCCCGAGCTAAAACTGAAATAGAGTTTCAGAAGAGAAATAAAAAGAGTTTGAGCGTACAGAGATATGTTGTGGAAGGCTTCAACAAAGTCTGGAGTCTGAGTTCCATTGACATTTGATGTCTGGACCTTTGCCACGGCGTAGATTGGAGAGACCAGAAGGCGTGGAATAGCGCAGAAGACGCAGAGGGTCGCGAACTTCTTCCAACCTCGTCCATCGGATTCGTAGAAGAATGCGAGTGAGAGGATGACAGCCAAGACAACTGTCATGCAGGAGTACCATGATCCAGCTCCACGAAGGAACCATGCTCCGAAGACAATGTACCAAATTGAAGCGATGCTGATCCATGCATAAAAGAGTTTCAGAAAACGGAGAGAGACCTTTGGCACATTTTTGAGTGGTTGTTGGAAGTGCTTATCGAGAACATAGAATATTTCAGGAGTTAGGATGTTCATCAAATTCATTACCACTGAAAGTCAAATGTTTAAAAAAAGAAAAAAAAGGTGAAAAGGGCTGGTTGCTTAGAAATTGATAAGAATGAATGAAAAGAGGGTGAGAGAAGAAGAAGCTGAAGACTCGTGATCTCCTATGGCAACGGCTGCTCACGAGTGAGAGAAACAGAAGATCCAATGGGAGATGTTGTCATGGAAACCGCATGAAACCGTGAATTAAAGTTTCAAATGACAAACTTTGTTGTTGTATTAAAGTTGATATCATTAGAAAAAGAAGATAATGTTAAGTTAAATAGTTGGAGAGTGGTTAGAAACTGCTTAGCTGGTAAACAAAAATTTTAAAGGAGGAGAAAATTTTACAAATTGTGAAGTGCGAAATATTGTACAAAAAATATTCTAAAATTTTAAAAAGACAAGCGCCTCAGTTACTACCGTAAACACTCTAATAAAATGAATTTCTTAACTATCACCTTTGAGCTAATTATCTCGGTTGCTGTAAAATATATGAAAAAGTGGTCAACTAACAAAATACTTTTGATACTTTGATAAGCATTTTATCAGTTTACCATTTTTTGATACCTTTCACAGGAACCAAGATATAGGGATTCAAAGTAACCAAACCCGGTACTTTCCCAAGAATTCACATTGGGCTGTTTCCATTGGGTTGTTCTCCGGTTGTTTTCATTGGAACTTTTCCAATGGAAACAACTGGAGACCGTGAACCTTGAGAAATATAGATGGAGGGAAATAAGAAGAAAGAGAAAAAACTTTTTGATAGGATCCAACAAATATATTTATTTCAATAATTTCTTGATTAGTTTTTTTCCGAGAATAAAACTAATCAAAACAAGCGATCGAAATGATGACGCCGACGGATTGCATGAGAAGTTTCATAAGGTAAATGGTCGATATTATCAAATTCTAAAACGAGTTCTGAAAAAGAATGCCACATTTTAGTCAAAGCTGGGTGGAAGACGAAATCGATGGATCAATTCGCCAGTTGGCAGGAACGGAACCGCAAGCATCGGGGTCTTCTGGAGCATCAGCTGCACAGGATGCAGACGAGGATAACAAGGCAGATATCACTCCAGTCGAAGCATTCAATGCAGTTCACACCGAAGGGGTACGTTAGTTTTTTTTTGGAATTTCTTCTACAAAAATATATCTTTCTCCAGGATGGTCTTCTCGCTGATATGCATGCTGCTGCGATGACCTTCCCATACACATTTGACAAGAGTCTGAATAATATGGAAATGAACCGTATTCCTCATCTCTATTGTTTTGATCACACTCGTGTCGAATTGAAAGCTCAGAAGGGAACTGGGGATTATTATCACGCCTCCTGGGTTGATGGATATAATCGGAAATGTAATTTTTTTTAACTTTGTGTCCGGATCGTCTCATAGAATATTTTTTTTAACCTTCAGCCGCCTACATTTTCGCACAAGCTCCCTTTGATGATATCACAGAGCACACGTTTTGGAGAATGGTTGGTGAGAAGAAGCCGTCGATGATTCTGGTTTTTGGAGACGTTGACGAGAAACAGAAACGTAAAGTGCCTTATGATATCTCTGAAAAGGATTTTGAAAAGGCATTTCTTCACGAATTCGATGCGAAAAAGTTGGACGAGACCGAGATGAAAGCCAAACTGTGCAGCACATTTTGGCCGGATAAGGGATCGAAAAAGGAGTTTGATACGCTGATGATTCAAACAAAAGACGAGTATTCTGAGACTCATATGAAGACGTTCAGTTTGTCAGTGACGGAGAATAAACAAGAGAATCAGACTGTTTTGATGCATTTCCACGAATGGGCAGATACCGCTCAACTGCCGGAGTATATGCTCGATATGAGAGCTTCTGCAAGTTTTGTTCTGTTTTTTCAGAGAATCTAAAAATCCAGAAATATATCTTTCATCAAAAAATATTGGCCAAAGACACATTGCCTTATTTTTTAGATCCTCTTATCATCTGATCCGAATAATCTGAAATAATCCTTCTCATCCAAAACCACCTTCTTTTCCAGATCAAAGTACAGTATATCCGCAGTTCGAAAAAGCCAGGTGCAAATAATGGTCCGATTCTTCTTGTCTGTGCAACTGGCATCACCAAATGCTCCATTTACGCTACAATCGACATCATCGTGAGCAGAATGACCGAAGAGCACACTGTCGGATTCAAGGAGACAATGTCAGCTATCAAGGTGCAGAGATATGGTTGTTTCAGAGCTCCAGCCGCATATTTGACTGCTCGTGAAATGCTCATGAAGTAGTTTTCTGTTAAGGAAGTCAAAGTAATTGTGTCTTTTCAGGTTCGCTGTCAGTACTGGTGTTGTTCATGATACTGCAATCGGAGACAAGCCAAAGCCTAACAAATCGAAGTACAGTACTATTGGGAAGGCACAAAAGAGTGGATTTATGAGAAAGAAGAAGGCAGCTCAGAAAACTAAATGATCTCTTGTATCGAGTGCTCTTGAAAAATAAAAAAATATTTTTTTCTCATTCCACTTTGAAAACATCAGCATACAGGGCTCAAATCCAACCAGATTAAAAGTTTGGATCTAGGTCAGGAATGTTAGGAATGGCTTTTTCGGTTTTTTTTCTAAATGTGGAAAGTTCCGCGTTTCAAATTTTGGAATTTCGGAATATTCCAATCTTGAAATTTTTGAAAATCCGGAAAATCGGAATTTTGGAATATTTCGATTTTGAATATTTTGGAATTTCGGAAAAATCCGATCTTCAGAATTCCGGAATTTTGAGATCCCACTTTCCCATCATAGAAGTCTAAAAAATTGGCAAACAGATTTCGAGGAAAGCGAAAATTAATAGAAGTAATTCCTCTCGAGACCCTCAAGGAAACAAAAAAAGTTCGGAAATGTTTCGACTGGGATTTTCAAAAATTTCGGGATTCCGAATTCCGCTTCGAACATCCACAGATCTAGGCAGTATAGCTGAAGATCTAAAGACTTTTTGATTTCTTTTTAATTTCCTTTGCTTCCAAAAGTTGATTGAACCAGGTCACTGACTTTCGAAAGAAAAGAGCTCTAACTCTTAATCCGTCTCTTCGGGTTTTCAATTACTTAGATTAAAGTGCATGACGAAGGAAGCAGAGAATTACTCAACCACTACTTCTTCTTCGTCTTCTGCCATTTGCCCTTTTTCGCTTACTTCTTCTTCAAATCACTATGTTATCACAAGACACAGAGCACATGTAAACAATCGAATGGGATAACATATCAGACGGAAAAACGGGAGAGGATAATACTCTCTCCCTTTTTCGTGTTTTCTCTCATTTTGTGCTCTCATTTGTCTTCTTTCTTTGCTTCTTTTTCTTCTTTTTCTGATTCCGTTTTTGACCAAAAAAATAATAAGAATGCTATGAATACATCTGACATTTTTTCTCTTCTTCTTCTTTTTGCTGTTCATGTGAGAGTAATAGGCTGTGAATGGGCCAACGAAGGACAAGTCAGCCACACAGGCTTTGTTTATGATGTAAGAGAGACATATCGAAACGAGAGATGCAAAGGAGTATTCAACTACATATGCCCTCGTTTTTCCTTTTTTCTTTTCTTCTTTGCTCTCTTTTTTATGATCATAACTTTTTCAAGTTTTTGGAACTCTCTTCCAGTTTTCACTATACTCATAATTTTTTTACTATTAGGTTGGCGGGAAAGTCTTTGTCACTTTTTCAATAGTTTATTTCTCAAAGAAAAAATAACCGAATAATTAATTATATTGTCCATCATTATCAACAACATGTCTCCAACGTTCCCTCAATTTATGGATTCCATTGCGGTAGAATCCAGCCGGGCGTGAGGCAAAGTATTGTTTGAGTGCCGCTTCGACCGCTCCACGGGAATTGAAGCTTCTTCCTTCGAAGGCACGTGTCATATCGCCAAATAACCAATAGTCGGAAGGAGCAAGATCAGGAGAATACGGGGGGTGAGGGAGAACATTCCATCCATATCCCATCAGCTCCTGCTTCACTTGTTTCGAAACATGTGGGCGAGCGTTATCATGTTGATAGTACACTTTCTTGTCTTTCAGGGCCGAACGGTCGACTGCTTTCTTGAGGTTTCGTAGTTGAGTAGTGTAGAGGTCTCCAGTTATTGTTTTGCCCTCGGGCAGAAGTTCCCAGTAGATGGGGCCGTCCACTCCCCACCACACAGAGAGCATAACTTTTTTCGGATGAAGGTCGGGTTTGGGGACATCCTGTGGGCTCTCTCCTTCTCCAACCCACTGGGATTTCCTGTGGTGATTATCGTAGAAGACCCACTTCTCATCTCCGGTTATTAGCCGGTCCAGCCATCGATCGCCCGCGTGGAGAGTGAGAAGAGTAATCGAATCGTCGACTCGGCGGTCAAGGTTGGCTTGAGTCAGGTGATGACGTATGAATCGACCAAAAAGTTTTCTCATTCCAAGAGACTTCAAACCTTCAAGGACTGTGCTATGGTGAACTCCGAATGTGACAGCTAGTTCACGGCTAGATTGAAATGGATCCGATTGCAATGCGTGCTTCAGCTTGTCCAAATCCAACTCACGGGGTCTCCCAGAGCGATCCTTTTCATCGAGCGAGAAGTCATCTTTTTCGAAACGATGGAACCAATTGCGAATAGTATTGTAGTGAGGGGCATGTGTGTTGTACACATTCTTCAAGAAAGTTTCCGAATCCTTCATCGTGGTGTGAGATAGGAAGAGGTAAATCAAAACATGTCTGATGTGAATAGCAGTGGGAACAAACATATCGTTTCAATTACAGATGAGGAGCAGGGAAGGAAATGGGGACTTGTTTATATGGAAGGTTCTTATCACCTTGTTATTCACTAGTGTCGATATCATACACAGCCTCCATATACGAGAACAGTGATTAAACAAACAGAGTGACAAAGACTTTCCCGCCAACCTAATATGAAAGCTTTACTTTTTTAAACTCCTAATGTAGTTCCGTTTGTAGTGTCAGATAGTTAATCCGTGTCAAGATTTAAAATTTTTAAAAAGACACGGAAAGATAGGAGCCTAACTTTTATGGAAGAATAAAAAAAGATTAAGACTGGAGGAAACTCAGTAACAGATAATAGAACCTTAACTATACGTCCACTTTCATTTGCCTCTTCGTAGAACCTGACGGTTCCGACAGGTTTCAGAATAAAAGCAATTGTAAGGTTTCCAAATATGCGTTTTCAGATGAAACAATTTCTGAAATTCCAAAATTTGATTTTTTCAAAACTTTTTTTCACTTTTCTGATTTTTGAATATCAGAATGTGTTCTATAAGGAAGCGCATATTGCAAACTTTAAATTTCTTTTGGACAAATTTTGATAGTCTGATAGTGAGATCAATTCCCCTGTATTATCACAATGATGAAATGTCCCGGTCTTAAAAATTAAAAGATAAAACATCTAATAAATTTAGGACCACCCTTAAACATCTTTGTGCTAGTTGTACAGGGTGTTGTACAGGGTGGCGCATAATTAATTGCTCAAATGAAAACGGGTATATCTTTAGACATAAGCATGATAGAAACATGAAAATTGGCGGAAATGTAACTCTATAGTTGATACACATGTACTGAAAGTTTCAAAGCGTTTGCTCAAGTTTCAGTGTTTTTATGATTGCCCGAAGACGAACGGCGAAATGTTTCTTGCACGCCTCTGTTTCCTGATTTGTGCTGATGTAACTAAATGCTAGATAGTACGATTCAACTGAAATTTTGTCGAAAGTAAGACACATATAAGTATGGTTTTCATACAAACTTCACGTTGATTGAATGCATCTGTCCAGACATATCACTCCAATAGTCAACCTACATCTGGCTTAGAATTCCAGTTAAATTTTGCCTTGTGAACCGAATTTGAAAAATGATTCGTTGATAGTGCTACAAGTTTTTATAAACCAATCGGATGCAATTTTAACAAAATTGAAACACCCAAAGACATAAATATTAGGTCGTTAGGCCAATTTATTTCAAAAACTGAAAATTCACTACTTTTGGCCTCTTTGGAAAACTGGTTGCTACCAATTTTATTGCTTTTGTAGCAACCTCAAATTTTCACAGATGATTTTTAGAGAGTTGATCTTGATAAGTGGCAAATTTCAGTCATTCGTTATTATTACTGAAGTGTTTAAGGGTAGGCAAAGTTGGCCTAAAAATACAGATAAGCCGCGTGCATTTGAAAACTTACGTTGTTAGTGATCACAGTACGAGTCCCCTGGTAATTAAAATATCTTCAAAACTAAGTAAAATAATAGAAAAAAATTGTATCTTCACATTTGAAAAGAAAATACTTTGATAGACTTTGTTAGATTTTTGTTAAAACATGTTTAATTTGCACTAAAAGGGCCATTTTCGTGATTTCATGAGATTTTCGTGAGGTGAAACAACTTTGGCTAACGATAACTCAGCTCAAGGTTGATATCTTATTTTGAAACTTGGCCAGTTTTGTGATGAGATATGTGAATTGTTGCACTCAAAATTTCAGCCCAGTACAACGCTTCATTCAAATTTTATGGCTGTGCAAACTTTTGTGCAAGTAATTATGCGCCACCCTGTAGGTCTTCTTTCTTATTCCATTTTTAATCCTCCTGTCCCAAGAGTTTATGTTTATACATTCAATAAACTTTTGTAGTACACTTTGGGGAACATTTTTCGACTATAGTTAAAGTTAAAAATCGACACATATAGTTTCATATTTGGAATTCGGTGCAATTTTTCAGTTTTTGCATTTAAAGAAGTGCTTCAGAACTGTCAATTTTCACTAAGATTCTAAAATTCTTTTGTAGCTGTCTAGAAGTTTCCAGAAATGGACAAATTAATTTTGCCTTTCAAGAAGATTTATTTCAGTTTTGGTTTTTTCGAATTATCTATATTTTTGCAGATTTGAGTTCGATAGGAATTTTGGTGTTTCACCTCTCAGATTTTAGAATATCTTCAGATAAAATGACATCAACCTCAAAATTGTTTTTCTTTTTCATATTAAAATTATTTCTGCCAGAACTCCCACTCTTTTCAATTATCTTTTCAATGTCTTTTCGGAGAAAAAAGAACTTTTTGTTCAATTTTACTCTTTCCGTAGAAAGTAGAATATGTAATTTCAGTTGTCACATCACATAAGTTACTATGATTTATTATCCCCATACCGCCTAGACACAAAACATAGGATTCTTATTCTTCTCCCCAGATCTTTTGACTAGTTTCTGAACCTTCTTTTTACTCAAAATCCCAAAACTGAAACTCTCCGACTTTTTTATTCCTAATTCATACAGGAATTCATTTCCTGAGAGGTACTCCGAGATTTCTTAATTTCCTTTTCCTTTGAATTTGATATTTTGTTAAAAATTCGATTTTCAGAATGGTAACTGTGATACCAAAAATAATCACAACACCTTATCCACGAACAAGGCTTCCTATGTATCTCTATACATTATCAATCGTAAGTTCTCACAAAATTTTCAAGTTCTATTAGTAATGGCTAATCTTTGAGATTGTATCTTGTTCACTGCTCTATTGGAATCTTCTCTACTGCAAAAACTATGATTGTTCCGCTGAACAAGAGATCAGGTTCGGTCCGAAAAAGCATATATTGCAGGTAGGAGTTTAGAATATTTTGATCAGTCAGTCACTTCAATTATTTCAGTATTTCCCAGTTCTTGCTGCTCCAATCATCATATTCATTTCCCTATCATGGCTGATAATTGCAGTTCACTATTCGAGTACAGCTTGTATTGTAACATTCAATTTTATGGTTGGTTTGAAAATTCAAAACATTGATTTATATATTTTTTTAATTTGTAGGAAATGCCATCTGCGGTTTTTTGTTCCATGCTGGGCGGAGTTAGTTCAGTGATTGAAATTCATTTTTCGATCGATGTTGTCAATGTGGAATGGACAGATCAATGGCTACTGTCATCGGTAAGAATTAAAAAAAAATAATTTGTATAAACTTTTTGAAAATTCTTATAGGGTTCCTCAATACTCCTATGTCTTCTACATGCTACAATTGCATTTACTCTTCAATGACAACGGGTAGATTTCTAGACATCAATCAAATAATCTGTGATCTTATACCATTCATTTCATCTCATTTTCATTTTGATACTCTTTTTTTTTCATAAACCGTGAAAATCCTAACTTCTAGATTAAAAATATCATAAATTCCAGATTTCTAAACTTTATTTTTCAAAATACTGTGAAATCCATTGAAGAGTTCCTGATGCGTCCTTTAGATAAAAAGATATTAAGCAATCGAAACGAAAAGAAAGACAAGAAAGGAACTGAAGAAGTGTGGGTCATCAAGATTTTCACTCCAACCTTCTATAATTCTGATTTTCAGTGGAATCCCAACAGTATTCACTCCAGTTCCTTCGGATGAGTGTTCACTTGTCGAACAACAATTCCATCGAAATCTTCGTGATCTACCACAATTGACTTCTGAACAGTCATCGGACGTCGTCACCACTGAAAAAACGAATTCAGTTCCCACTGAGCTCAAAAAAGTCGCACCTGAAAATCAGCATCAGTATCCGCCGTTCTATACTCGTGAGCTGACAAGAATGGCATTGATCCGTGTGTACTTCATGCAGAACTTGTACACTTCCTTCGAACTGTCAACTGATCGGACGCTTTTAATTTTGCTTCGTTTCGTCATTAAAGGAATTTCCAAAGAAATGTATGTGAAATACTTTTTTTCTTGATTAAAATGTTTCTGATGTCAGTCGAAACAAATTTTCATTCTACGTCTTCGCATCGCCGTATGACGTCATCTGGAAACGTCCAAGATGCGAGTTGATGAAGAAACCACCGCCGAGTAGCATGTTCCGACAGATTCTGACGCCATCTCAAATGAATCGGACACTTGGAGAACTGTTCAAAGAGACGAGAACAGAAGGTTTAGACACTATGAACATTTATATTTTCATCAAAGATATGGACGATGTAAGTTGAGAAAACTATTTATTGTTTTAATTTCTAATTTTTCAGACTATCGCAGCCGACGAGGTCTCTCTCAAACACAAATGTTGGAAGTATCAGCAAGTCGTCGAATAGAGATTAACTTTCTTTTATTCTGTCCAATAAAGTTTAGTGTATTTTTCTGATACAATTATGTGGGAGAGAAACTACGGTGGCCATTACCAAATGAGCCAAAAAGACATACCGAAACCTGAAAACATTTTTATTTCTTGTTTCGAAAAAAAAACAGAAAACTCGAGGAAAAGCAGTCAACAACTATAAAAAACTACTGTTAAAAAATATTTTAAGGTTACGGTAGTTGTCGTTGTGAGATCTTCCACAGCTCCGATTTTTCTGTACGAGTATTTATGACATTTAAAACTTCATCAAATACATAAATATCCCTTCAAGCAGTTTTTTTGCCAATAAGTGTATTTGAGGATTTTCTCTCATTTCCTATATGTACACTCATCTCAAATTACATCGAGAATTGAACCAGATCTAAATATCAACACAATTTTTCTCTTCCATCGGTAAAGAACATTCGATTTATACTTGTGATTCATTCGTCCTTTTGTTCAACAACGTATAGAAGAGAGCCTGGAGACGCAGACGCGTCACCGGTCAATGAGCCGTTGAATCAAAGTGTGATCGGTCAACGGCTCAGAACGAAAGAGTGAGAAAAATAGAATGGAAGATATTTAATTGAGCTCTTTTCATATTTATTTTTAATATCCAGTATTAACATATTCAACTCAAGGCAAACCAAAATTTAAAAAAAATCGCTTGGCGATTCAAGACAGTTGGATAAAAATTGAAACAATCGAAAGAAATTATTAGAAAGCACAATTGTGAAGAGGAATTATAAAAGTGCTGGAAAGTTTAGAAGCATTTTGAATGATACAGATAAGGCTGATGTTTGGATGCAAATTAGTCTTTGAGATCGCTTTTGAACTTCTTGAGAGCGATTTGTTCGTCGATGGTGGCGCGATTGTGGACTCCAAGACGGACTCCAAGACGTTTTCGGCGACCCCACTGAAACATTTTAATTGAGTTTTTGATAAAATGTTGCTTTTTGTATAGAATTCTTTAATAAATATTTATAAAAATCGACTCGTTTTTTTATTATTTCTTTGAGCTAAAAGCTCAAAAGATACTCTGGTAATCGGTTTTTAACCAGATTCGGGAAAATTCCGGAGCAGAAATGGCTAGATCTGGTTAGAAAATTGTCCGAATCAGGTTGGAAAATTAGCTTTCTCGGTCGGATCTGGTCAGAAAATCACCAGACCTGGTCGGAAAATAACAAAATTCCGAATCTGGTTGGAATTTCACTCGAATCTGGTTGGAAAATCGCGTTACCCGAATCTGATTGGAAAATTTTCCGAAACTGGTTAGAAACCGATTACCAGAGTAGCAGAAACCTTTTCAAGAACAGTCACATCATCGTGATCGTGGATGCAGTAGAAGTTGACGCAAGTGACGGTAATGATACCGATGATGACGAAGAACGAACACCAAACGGCGACAACGCCCAGCATGTCTTGATACGAGAAGTCTTGCTTCGGCATTGCTGAAAAGAAAGAGAAGTCAGTAATTTTTCAAGTAAAAAAAGAACGTTAAGAAATGAGTCAGACACCTAAAAAACAACAAAAAACCCTTTTATTTTTGCCACTTGCTCATTAGCTCGGCGAGCAATAGGATATTCAAGTGTGAACAGCGAATTATTTTGCTCTGAAGCTATCTACTCTCCGTTGCCGAGAGCAAGCGCGAAACTCCGCCCCCTTGATCGGTCAAAAGGAAATCACTGCTCAAAGCAACAAGAGACATTGTTGTAGTATGAAAAAATAAAATCAGTGAAAGAAATGTGATTTGTTGAATAAAAAAAGATTTGTTGTGATTTGTTGAATAAAAAGTTTGGTTTTTCACCGGAAATTGAGAAAAAGTTTTTAGTACAGTATGCCTGTTAATAGGTACATCCTCCCCTTGCACAGCAGGTCTTGGAGCGAAATGGAGAAAATAAATTTTTTTGCCGGTTTGAAAAATTGTTTGCTTGAAAGGAAAGTGAGTCAGGGCAAGAAACCGTTGTTTTACCAATAAAAAAATGTTTTTCTCAAAAAAACTTGTAAAAACAGGAAAAAAACCCTGCCAGAGTTATGACAAAAGACCCACTAAAAGTGTTCCAGTAAACCACAGAGAGGTAACCTTATACAATTCTGAAAATCCACATTATGAGAGACGAAGTTTTTTGCAATAATACTTTAATACTTTTTGTTGATTTTGAGCAAGTACAAGTAGCACTCCCAAGGTTATTTTTCTGCACCTTCGGCTACCTTCATTTGCGTTTTAGATGGAGTCTTCAACTGCTGAATCGGGAAGGAAATCTAAAAAGACAACAACTACTGAAGAAGCCATCTCAGCTGAAACTGTTATTATAATTTTCGTTTTCATCGGATTATTCTTTCTTTGTTGTGTCGGCGTCAGTCTGTACTGTTTCTATAAGAGAAAGCGAGAGCAGCAAATCGAACAAATTGCCAACGTTCCACCAACTGATCCGAATCAAGTGAATGGTGGTCAACCTGTTGCAGCTACCGGACAACCACAAGTGGCAATTATTCGGATATAGGGAACTATGTTAAGACATAAACTTGTTATTTTTATTTTTATTTTTCTGTATATTTCAAATCACAATACCATAAATTAAAATATAGTGGAGTCATAAATATAAACCTACCGTAAAACCTGTACCAGAAGGGCTCCCCACACGGTCAAGTTTGAGCTCAGTTATCTCGGTTCCTAAAAAAGATATCAAAAATGTGTCAACTATTAAAAAGTTTGTGATATTATGATAATCAATTTATCAGTTGACACATTTTCGATATCTCAGACAGGAACGAGATAAATTGGCTCAAAGTTTAAGATCGGGGGCTCTTCTATTGCAGGTTTTACGGTATTTTTAGTCTTCCAATCAATCCCAAAGAAAGCGATCATATAGTAAAAGAAGCGAATTTCTTCGTTCTGTGTTTCAACACTCAGTTTTAAAATTTTGCTGGAATATGTGTGAATGTCCATAATGAAGGGCACGGTACCATGATCCTCTCCGGTTAGAGTATATAACTCCACGTTCAGTGATGATCCAACCTGCAGCTAACCTGACTCAACCGACTGACCTGGGCTGGAACATCCCAGTCAGCATAACTTTTCAACTCTTCTGAAACCTATTGCCTCTTCTCGACAGTTTGATTTCTTCACAACAACTCAAACACCTCAAAAATGGCTGTAAGTTAACCTGTGTGTCTCTTCTCAATTCAAATTGATAACTATTTCAGAAATCTACATCAACAAAAGATAACGCAGCCCTTGGTGTGATATTCATTATAGTTGCAATTGTTGTCGCCATTTGCTGTTCGTGTGCATCCGCAATCGCTCTGTTTTTTGTTTTAAGAAAGAAGAAAAAGGAACCGTCGAATGCCGTGGCACCAGCTCCACAGTCACCAGCAGGACCTCAGATTATCGTCGTTCAGGACAAATAGAACTGTCTGAATCGCTCTACTTGTTTGTTCCAATGCATTAAAAAATATAAAATGTTGATTCTAAAATTGGCTCATGGTTTATAAAACCTTTCTCTTAAATTTAAAGTGTCCAGAGAGAAAAAGGTCAATGAGATAGATATTCCAGTGTTTATTCTGAAAACCCAGTATTCTCAACCAACTTCGAAATGCCTGCATTGAACTATCCCAGTGTAATAATTCGTTTAAAATGTACAAATTCAGAATTCGAATGTTCAGGATCCCACAACAACCATAATTTATTCTTCTAGTCCAGATCCTCCGGAAGGTTTCTTTGCAGCCGTGCTTCTGATTTAATTCAGTACCTCGTTCCTTCTGATTTGCTGTCCGTGTTTGCTTTGCTGCCTATCCTTGTAATACCACAGGGTAACGGCTGCGCATGGTATATGCGTTGGCGCGGCGCCTCATATGGACGACATAGGTACACCGTTTGCGCACATATAGTACGCTATATGCGCGCACGAGCCATCGAGATCGGGCATGACGCGTCCATATTTCATCTACAATTTCAGGTCGTATTGGCGATGGATATATCTTATATGGATTAATTCATCTAACTATAGTTGTAATAAGATGTGATTTTGTTCAGATCTTCCAATACCGTTCATTTTCCCTTTCAGATTTCACAGAGTGACCATTTTTCCAGTTTTCACAGAATTTTCTCACAGCAAGAAAAATTATGGCAGGAAGTTAAAAATATCTGGATGATATAACATAATAAATTTTTCCTTCAAAACGGCGATATAGAAAACTTGAAAAAAATTCAACAAAGTCTACTCAAGATCGATACGAGGAGCGATACGAGGAGCCAAGAGTTGATTTCACTGGTGTTTGGTATCCTAAATTTGAGGCAGATAATCTGTAACAGATTACAGAATCATCAGAATTAAAAAAAATCCCCATAGATAAAAAATTCTGACATCGAGGGAAACCCCATTTTCTATTATGGTGACAAAGAGTATCCAAAACATTGGAATTTTTTGCATTGAATTGTTCGAAGATTTTTTGAAAATTTATGCATTCTTATTAGATTTATTTTCTACTTGAGAAAAATGAATTGTCGAATTTTTAGCTGGACTTAAAGCTGTTTGAAATAATATGGTTTCTAGGGCCTTGTTTTTAGGTATCCGTTGATTTAAGATGCTAACCTATTTAAAAGGATTTTTAATAAATATAAAAAATCTAAGAATTTTGAGTCTAATTTCAATATTTTTAGCTCAAAAATCGAGAAAAGCGACCAAGAATCGTTTTTTAAGCTATAAAATCATTCAATTTCAGAGAAGTAAATTTTTTGATTGGGGTTTTAAAGACATTTTCACGTAAGAATAACTAGAAGATATTTATATAACAAAACAACGGAGGAATTTGTTGCTGCAATAGCGCACCCACAGGTCCTGGGCGATGATGCGCATAAAGGACTCGATCCATATGCGATCCTCTAGAAGTCCGTTTGACACATATCGCGAACAACGAGCTGCGATGAGTCTCATATGTGTGCGATGCGGGAGAGGCTGAATCGAGTGTTCCGATGCGCGCGTATCCTAAATGGATTCTGGGTGGGTGGGCGATGTGTGCGATATGGGTCTGATACGGTAGGCCGACTACAACACTCCGAAATCCCGGATGCGCCCATTGTTTACCGTAAATCCACACCGGCAACTTTGTCAATTTTTCGTCAATCCGAGCCTACATTTCTGGTTTTTCGATTATTCCTTCGATGTTTTTTGTGAAAAAGAGTTATGCCAGAATAAAAAATCGCTGAATTTTTGCAGAAAAATGTCTTTCACTCGTTAATTGCTATGTTTTTCGCCAAAATAGATGATATTGAGATTTTTTGATTTCACTTTGTCATTATTGTAAAAATCGTATTTTCAGGTGGAGTAAAAGGTAAGTTGGTAAGTATACAATAATTACAAAGTGTAAATTATAAAAGTTTTCAATGTTTTCATGCAATTTTTTCCCATTTTCTTCTGTTTTTGATTGCATATCAAATTTAAATGGAAACTGCCATAAGTCTTTTTCAACACCAAAACATTGAGTTTCGAAGAATCAGTAATATGTCGTTCAAAATATTAAAAAATATGGAATAATAAAGGAAAATTACGAAATCGGAAGACCTGAACAAAATCACATCACAATAGAACTTAACTGATACTTCTAGGAACCCCCAACCAACGTTTTAGTTCATTTCATCGAGTGCCAGCAAGCCA